AGATCCAGGAATGAATAATATTTGTATTAGGACCCTGCCTAATGATTGCAAGGGCCATTCAGGGACTTAAAACAGTAAGGAGTCTTAGAGAACATCAAGTCCAACCCTCTGGTATTATAGATACAGAAATCCACGCCTAGAGAGGTAAAGGGATTTATGCAAGGTTTGACAGGCACTGATCGGTAGAGCTGGGCTTGGAACTTAGTCTGACTCTTTGTTCCATGCCTATCATGCCTGCAGCAGACAGAGCTCCATCAGTCTTACCCATTTACTGGAGTTGGACACAGTCAGACCGGCTGGGATAGGATGTTGTGACAGGTGCACTCAGACTGCAACTGTGTGGACACCATAATCACTCTAAGAACTCCCAAGCTGAGCTGTGACCTGGAACCTTCTACTCACCTGTGATCATCAGCAGAGCTGTTCATCTACTGATACTCTACCCTGATTCATTCCCCACTAACTAGCAATCTCCTACCCACTCTGTCTCTTCTATTCCTGGTGTTGCTGATTTCTGGGTTGTGTAAGAGTAATCTACTTCCCCCACTCCCAATTCCCTTCTCTCATCCCCATCTACCTCAATCCTATACCTCCCAGGTCCCACTCTGGATCTGCTTACCCCTTCCATTGTGCCCTCTATATCTCCTAGTGCCTAGTCCATAATTAATAAATTTCCCTTCAATTTAGATGTCTTCCTCTCATACTCCTCCCATCTTATGGCGCTGACAGAGACCTGGATCCCCCCAAGATGACACTGATCTCCCTAGATATCCTTTCCAATAACTGTTGCATCTTTCTTACTCCCTGATATACTAGTCTCAAAGAGGGAGTCTGAATGCCTCCAATTCTCCATTGTCATTTCCAGACTCTCTTTCTGCTTCCTTCTCTCAGAAACTTTTCATCGTTTGAGGTTCACTGTATCCAAATTTATCACCCAAGCCAGATCCTGGTAGATGTTATCTACTGATGGCCAGGTTATTCTCTCTCTCCTTTCTCAAAGACTTCAGTGCCTGGTTCACAGTCTTCTTCTCCATCTCAATTCTTGCTCTTATACTAGAAGATTTTAACATACATATTTGATGTTTCCTCAAGCACCCTAACCTTCCGGTTGGTCAATCTGCTCAAATTCCATGACCCACTCTTTTATTCCACCTCAGCTCCTCACAGGGATAGCAACATCTTTTGATCTTTCTATCATATACAACTGTTTCACTTCTATGGTCAAGAACGCTGATACTTCTTTACCCTAAAACAATCTCCTATCAATCCATCTCTCCTTATTCTTTACTCTTCTTCAATCTATTCTTTATCTTCACCATGACTTAAAATCCTTCCACTCCTCAGTTCTTTTTCAAGACATTGCCTTATTTTTGATAATTCTCCTCCAAACCTTGACCCTTTCCAAACCACGGAAAACCCTTAAGTTAACCTTTTCAATTCTATACTATCTTTTGCTCTTGAATAAGTTGCTCTCTTGATCTACTGCTACACACCTCTCTGCAAACTCCAACCTTGGATTACTCCTACCATTTACCTCCTCTCCTCTTCACATGCTGATGAACAGAGCTGGAGGAAGTCAGACAACTGTATTGATTAGGTGCGCTACAACTTTGTATTATCTAATCTCAACAGTGCCCTCACTGGAGAGAAGAAATCTTTTTAATCCTCCCTAACTGAATCTCTAGACCATTTGCCAAACTTAGTTCCTATCTTTAAGTCTCTTATAACACCCCTTCCTCCACATCTGGCAGCTGAGGATCTTGACTCATACTTTATTGAGGAAATAGAGGTAATTGGCCATGAACTCCCTCTTCTCATAACTCCTTGATAACATCTCCCATGAATTCCTCTTTTACTTAAGTCTCTGTTGAAAAGGTGGACCTTCCCCCTGCAAAGGCTAACACATCTACATAAACCTCTGATTCCCTCCACTCCTGTCTTTATCAGAAGATTGTTCCCCCTTTCATCACTCTTCTCTTTCTGATCTTCAGTCTCTTACTATCAACTGTCTCTTTCCTCACCACCTAAAAACACTCAAGTCTTTCCCATACTTAAAAAAGTCCTTCAGTAGATTCTGCCATTCTCACTAGCTATCTTCCTATGTATGTTCTCTTTTCCCAGCAAACATTTTGAAGACTCTGTCTACATTTCTTTCCTCCAATTCCTCTCACTCACTAATCAACCCTCTGCAGTTTGGCTTGTGACCTCATCTTACAAATGAATATGCTCTCTCCAAATTACTAATGATCCCTTGCTTGCCAACTCTGATGACCTTTTCTCATGAATGTGCTGGTAAATATTTAGCAACTAGCTCTCTGGGAAAAAAAAGAGAACACAGGACACACTTTTAAGTTTAATCTCCATGATTAACATTTTTTCCACTGTCTTAAGACAATCAACAAAACAATAAATCAAGCCCTGACTTTGCCAGTTTCTGAGGTGTAAATGCTCACACTGAAAATTTAACATTTAGCTTGAGGGCTCAAACTGACTTTTCTCAGTCCTCACCCTTCTCATTTTTTCTTCTGCACTTGACACTGATGACTACCCTTTCCTCTTGGTTACTCTCTCATCTCTGGTGATCTCTTATCTTTTAGCGATCCTGCCCTGACTTCTACCTGTCTAACCACTCTTTCTTAGTCTCCTTTTCTGGATCATCACCCATGCTACATCTCCTAACTGGAGGTAAACCTCAAAGCTCTGTACTGGGCCCTCTTCTCTCTCTCTACAATCCCTGAATGACACCAACGTGGGTTTAGTTATCTCTATGAAGTCTGACTCCCAGACTAGCCTCCCTAGTGTCTCTCCTCAGCTTCAGTCCCACATCACAAATTACTTACTAGACATTTTGAACTGGATGCCCTGTAGAAATCTCAAACTCAACATGTCCAAAAAAAGAAGTCACTATCCTTCCTGAAAACCTACCCCTCTTCTGAACCTCCCTATTACTGTCAAGTACACCATAGTCCCTCTGGTTCCACAATTTGGGTGTCATCCTCAACTCCTCACTCTCATATCACATATCTGATCAGCTGATACATTTTGGCCAACATTTATATCTCCCGCATTCAATTCCTTTTTCTCCACTCACACAGTCAATACTTTCCTTCAGACTCTCTTTACCTCTTCCCTGGTATATTGAAATAGTTTCTAATTGATCTCCCTGCCTCAAATCTCTCCTCATTCTGATGTATCCTCCATACAGCTCCTAAAGTAATCTTCCTAAAACTCAGGTCTGATCCCTCCTATTCTGTAAATTCTGGTGCTTCTAGGATCAAATACAACCTCCTCTTTTTTTTTTAACATTGAAAGCTCCTCTCAATTTATCTCCTTTACATCTTTCCAATCTTCTTATTCATTCCTCCCCTCCATGTACTCTACTGTCCAGATGCACTAGCCTTCTTGTTATACAACACACATGACCTTCCAGCTCTCATCTCTGGGCTTTCCCACCGGTTGTATCCAAAACTCAGAATCCATTTCTTTCTCACCTTTGTTTCTTGTAATTCTTAGCTTCCTTCAAGGCTCAGCTCAAGCATTTGACCCTTTGTAGGAGCCCTTTCCTCTTTCTTCCAACTGCTCATACTTTCTATGTCCCCCTAGCCACCTTGTATCTGGTTTGTATGTTGTGTGTGTGAATGTATGCTGACAATATATACAGATGTGCATAAAATATGCATATATATGTATATTTACATAAGGGGCAGCTAGGTGGCACAGTGGATAGAATGATGGGTCTGGGGGCAGGAAGACTTTTTTTTCAAATTCTGGTTTCAGACAATTAACTATCTGTGTGACCCTGGAAAAGTCAAACTTAATCCTGTTTGCCTTAGTTTTCTCACCTGTAAAATGAACTGGAGAAGGAAATGGTAAATCACTCCAGAAACTTTGCCAAGAAAACCCCAAATGGAGTCACAAGTAGTTGGACAAGACTGAAAAATACACACAAACACACACACATGTATATGTGTATATATACATATATAAATATATGCATGTGTATATATGTGTATATGTGTGTATATGTGTAAGTATACACATGTATATGTACGTATGTATATATACATATGTACATACACACACACACATACACACAAAAAAATAGATGTCAGGTTCCCACTACAATGTAATTCCTTGAGGGGTAGGACTGTTTTGCTTTTGTCTTTGTATATCCAGTGCCTGTCACATATTAGATCCTTAATAAATGCTTGTTGATTGATTCCTGTCAACGAGAACAATACCCTGGGCTGAGTTCTTCAGGGCAGACAGGTTTCTTTATATATCTATAGTGGAAGCAAGGAATAGCTTTCTTTAAAAACATGCTTCCCTACCTCCTTCTCTCTCACTGCCTGAGCGATGGCAGTCTGTGGTCCCAAATACTAGTGTAGGGTTCTTAACCCGTGGTACATAGACTCCCCCCTCTTCCCAAAGATTCATAGATAGATTCCAGGGGGTCCATGGATAGAAAAGAAATTACAGCTTTATTTCAATATAATTGTTTTCCCCCAATCTCATGTAGTTTATTTTATGTATTTAGAAAATTATTCTAAGAAATAAGCTTCTCTAGACTGAGGAAGAGGTCCTTGCCACAAAAAAAAGGTTAGGAACCTCTGCTTTAGTATCCACGTGTGCGCACACACACACACACACACACACACACACACACACACACTCACTGTGCAATTTCCCAGGAGCCTGGCTAAGAGCCTCCATAAAACTTCATCATTCTTGGTGCCTCTTTTGATGAAACCTTAGGATCTTGCACTTGTCAAGGGAGCCAATGTCAAGAGCTCAGTCCTTGGCTGTCTCTTTTGCAAATTGTCTCTTCATTCCCTCCTCCTCTGGAGGTGGGCCTCTTCCTGCCTCCCCTCTACACCCTCAAGCCAAATGAATACACTTCTCTGCAGTCCACCTCCTCCCCAATTAACTCCCCCTCCCCAGCTGCTTTCCTGAAGATCGAATGGCCCACTCCTTCATCAGTCCCCAAGCCTTGTGCTTACTTTCCACGGTGAGAGTGATGGGTTGGCTGGTCTTGTTATCCCCATTCTTGTCATTAACGGCCTGCACGTAGTACCGGCCAGCGTCAGGAGCCACAGTTGACAGAATGACTAGGGTGTTATCCAGCGTGATGGCTCTGAGGAGGACAGAGAACTGATTGAGAGATTCTGTCAGGGTCACCCCCAAGCCTCCCTCTGAAGCAGGGTGGGGCTGGGGAGGAGGAGAATTCTGGGGGCTTACTGGGTAAGGAAGACTGAAGAAGAGGGAGTGTGTGTGTGTGTGTGTGTGTGTGTGTGTGTGTGCTGATGAGAAATGGGAAATGATAAGAGGAGGGCATAAAGCTAAAATAATCATACCTTACATCGATATTGAACATTAACATTTTCAATTCATTTTCACAGACATTATCTTTTCTGATCCTCACAACCCCGTGAAGGAAGACAGGATGAAGAGTATAATCCGTATTTTTGAGTTGAGGAAATCAAGGTACAATGATATCTAGCTACTCCTTATCTATGTCGAGGTATTCCTTAACCTTGGCAGGACTGTATCTCTCAGCCCCCATCCTCTTAATTTCATGTTATGCCCGAGTCCCAGCCCCTGCTATAATGGATGCCAATGGTCCCGAATCTTTTTCCTCCCATGGTCCCTCTTGCCTGTAGTGAAAGTCACATTCTCTGCAAGGTCCCTGGATGTCAGAATCTAAAATAGATGTGTATGCATGTGTTGGATGGGAGGGGGGGATTGGGTTATGTCTGACCACTAATTTCACGTTTTTTGTGGAATTCTATTTCCAGAAGGTTATGCATGAATTCCCAATATGAGGTACCTTTTAGCATGGGAGGTTTTGAAAAGCACTGGGGGGAAATTTCATGCTGTGAATTAATGCTTCCCCCAGTACCTTTCAAAAACTCCTACGCTGAGAGAACAGGAAAATTATCTGGGGCCAGACAAGTCCCTATACATAACATGAGTTCACATACTAAATAACTGCCGAACTAAATAGTGCCTGACCTATATGAACTTATCTATTTGTATAACATCATGTAGTTGATGGTTTGATTCAATTAAATTTAACAACTATTTATTAAACACCTATTACTATATGCACAAGGTGCCATGTAAGGGCCTGGGGATAACAGGATGAAGACATATTCCCTGCCCTCAAGGGTATAGTAGATATTAATGATGATAATTTAGATGGAAGCACCAGGCATAGGGGATTATTAGCCAAATGTACTGTTGGATTCAATACATGTCTCCTTTTGCCAAGAACTAATAGCTCTTGTCCCTGTGCCTCAGTTTCCTCCTCTGAAGCAGGATTAAAAAAAATACAACAAACCTACCTTTTTAACATCTAAAGACATCTCTTCTCTCCCTGAGGATGGACAGGTGTCTGAGAGGGTAGAGTAATACAGAACTATGTTTATCCCAAATCTGAATTCTTTTTACCTTGGGACCAATACTGAAGACTAGAACCCCAGACTCAAGTGAGGTAGTATACATCCCAGCTGGGAACTCACTGGGCCTCATTATAGCCCTTAAAAGTCTGACCACCAACAAATTTTCCTCTTTTCTTGTTTTCTATCTTCTTTTATTCATTTCCCCATTGACAAACAAAACCATTAGTTTGTCAAGTCTAGCTCCAAATTTTAATGTGATGTGCATGAGACAGCTGTTAAACATCCTTAATGTTAGTTTAACAAGGACAAATCCAGTTGAATCCTTTTCAGATTTTCCCATAAGGTGAATGTTACAGAGTTTTAAAAAGAGTCTCTCAAAGGAACCGCTTCACAAATGTCTCTTTTGTTTATACTTTCACAGGGTGAGGGGTTTTGCTTTTTTTTTTTTCTGTTGGTCTTTTATATGTCAGTTCTCTTGCCATCAACAGAGCTGCAGGAAATTGCAGGATGCTCATCCACTCTGTTCTTCCCCAAAGGTTCCTTTCCTTCCTGGAGAGTTCCCTCTCTGTTTCTCCCAGTAATCTAGACAGTGGGAATTAGAGGTAGGGGGTGGCCCTGGACAGAGGCTTGACAAATTGTGGTGGTGTGTAGTGGTAATGAATAAAGTGCTGCCCTTGGAATCAGGAATACCTGAGTTCAAATTTTGCCTCTGACACTTAGTAGCTGTGAGACTCTGGGCAAATTACTTAACCTCTTTTGGCTTCAGTGAATCAGTCAGTTAGCATATATCAAGTGTCCACTATGTACTAGGCAAAAGACAGCCCCTGCTCTCAAGAAGTTTATGATCTAATGGCCTCAGTTTCCTCATCTGTAAAATGGGGATAATAACAGCATCTATCTCCCAAGGTAGCTTCTTCTGTTGGGCAGCTAGATGGTGCAGTGGATAGAGTGCCAGGCCTGGAGTCAGGTTCTCTCCTGAGTTCAAATCTGGCTTCAGACACTTACTAGCTATGTGACCCTGGACAAATAACTTAACCCTGTTTGCCTCAGTTTTCTCATCTGTAAAATGAGTTGGAGAAGGAAATGGCAAACCACTCCAGTATCTTTGCCAAGAAAACCCCAAATGGGGTCCCAAAGAATCAGACATGACTGAAAAACAACTAAACAACAAAACCTCCCAGGGTTGTGGGAAGATCAAATGAAATAACATAAGTAAAGGGTTTTGCAAATCTTTTAAGGGCTGTATAAAAGCTAGCAATTATTACCGGTATTACTTCTGACCTCAGCACCTCTGTCCCTGGTCTTACAGCCTCCTCTTAGAGTGCCATCATCATTGAAAGGCTAGTAAGGAGAAATCTTTCTTCCGCCAAAAGCCCAGAGAGGAAGTGTGGTGCCGTGGAAAGAGTGCCAGGTTTTAGAGTCAGAAGAATAGAGTCTGTAATCTGGTTTTAATGTTTACTAGTAGTCTCTCTGGGCTTCAGTGTTTTCTTCTATAAAATTAGGGAGCAGGATTAGTAATGATAATAGGCACTCATTTATATAGTGCCTTAAATACATTATTATTAGAATGGAAGTCACTTGAAGGCAGGGACTGCCTTGCTTGCATTACATTTGCATCCCCATAGCACAGTGCACAGCATAGTGCCTAGCACTGTACAGAGTTAAATTTTGGTATGAGGGTCGTAAGAAGAATGGAAGTACCTGTAAGGCAGGGACTGTTTGGTCTTTTTGTTTGTAACCCCCGCACTTATCACACTACCTTACACATAATAGGTGTTGAATTTGAATTTACTGAACTGGACTGAATGAAATGACCAATGAGGGCTTTATTTATTACCTCATTAAACCTCAGAACAACAGATCTTGCTATTACCCATAAATGTACCACTTCTGTGTTCAAGAACTCTGAAATTCCCTTACATGATCACAATCTATTGACTTTGCTATGTCTCCCTCTACTTTCCCATACCAAACTCGACTCTTTGTCCACACTGTGACCTCCAATCCCTTGACCGCTCAGTTCTCTCCTATGCCATTACTCTTACACTAGCCATACTCTCCATCTTGACCCCTTGGTGAATCAGTTCAACTCTACATTGTCTTTTTTCTCAAGTCTCTAGCCCCTTCGTTGCATCGCCAACTGTACTTTGCTAATCTCCGGCTTTAGATCATTTTCACTATCTGCTGTTGATTGAAAGTGGAGAAAATCATGCAACTGTTCTAAGTCCACTACAAATTTATGTTAAATAACTTCAACAGGGCCTTCACCGCTGCTAAGCAATCTTTCTTTACCTCCCATACTAACTCACTATCCTACTCTTCACAGAGGATCTTTCAAATCTTTTCATCCCTCCTCAAATTTCCTGTGGCTCCCTCTTCTGCCACCCTCTCAGCTGAGCACCTTGCCTCATATTTTACTGAAAAAAAACTGAGTCCATTTGCTGTGACCTCCCTTTTCTTCCCTCCTCCTCATCTCATGTCACTCAGCTGCCTTCTGTCCCTATCTCGTCCTTCAACCCTGTCATACACGAAGAGATGACTCACCAGGGCTAAGTCCTCTACCTGTACAAGCTATCCCATTCCATCCCATCTCCTCCAACAGATTGCCCTGTCTGTCATCCCCACTCTATCACTTATCTTCAATCTCTCCTTGTCTACTGACTCATTCCCTCCTGCCAACAAACATGCTCATGTCTTCCCCACCCTCAAAAAAACCCTCACTTGATCCTCCTATCCTCAATAACTATCATCCTATCTCTTCCACCTTTTGTGGCTAAACTCCTTGAGAAGGCCATCTACAATAGGGACCTCCACTTTTTCTCTGCTCATTCTCTTCTGAACCCCTTATAGCACACCTTCTGAACTCATCGTCTCACTAAAGTTGCTTTCTCTGAAGTTACCAACGATCTCAGTTGCAAAATCCAATGACCATTTTCTCTATCCTCATCCTTCTTGACCTCTGTGAAACATTTGACCATCAATCACTCTCTCCTCCTTTATACTCTCTTCTCTCTAGGTTTTTGAGACATCACTTTCTCACGGTTCTCTCCTTACCTGACTATTCCTTTTCAGACTACTTTGCTGGATCTTCACCCAGGTGATGCCCACTAACCATAAGTGTACTACCCAGACCCTCTTCTCTTCTCCCTCTATACTATTTCATTTAGTGATCTCATCAGCTCTCATGAATTTAATTACCATCTCTATCCTGATGATTCTCAAATCAACCTATCCTGCTTACCTCCAGTCTCACATTTCCAACTGCCTTTCAGACATCTCAAACTGGGTGTCTAATAGACATTGTAAACTCGACACATTCAAGTCTAAACTCATTATCTTTTCCCCTAGACTCTCCCCTATTTCTAACTTCCCTATTACTGTCAAAGGCACCACCATCCTTCAAGTTCCTCAGGATGGTACCTAGGTAGATGTCTTCTTTAACTCCTCACTGTTTCTTTGCCCCCACCCTTCTCACCATATCCAATTTGTTGCCAAGTCCTGTGGATTTTACCTTTTCAACGTATCTCAAATACACCTCCTTCTCTCCTCTATCATGACCACCACTCTAGTGCAGGCTCTCATCACTTCATACCTGGGCTACTGCAATAACCTGCTGGTTATTCTCTCGGCTACAAGTCTCTCCCCCTTCCAGTCCATCCTTAATTCAGTCACCAAAGTGATTTTCCTATAGCACAGGTTTGATCATCTTATCTACCCACCCCAAAAATCACCA